TGGCTAATTGATCTAATTAAGCTATGCTGATAGATCTGGAACACAAGATACAGCTCCCTTTGGGCTTTTGCTATTTTTACGTTTTGCAAGCGAAGTAGGACATCCGTGAGCTGCAAGCCTTGTTATGGTATGGCAGTTAACTTTATTTGGCTGCTTTTACATTGCATTGGTTTATGCCAGATTTGACCAAAATTAATTATCGATTTTTGACTTTTGTACTTGTGTAAATTATTTATATTTCGGTGTCTAATGGACTGAACGCTTTCGCGTACCTTCAATGAACCGAAGCATCCATCGACAAGTATATTAGGCGACTGCCAGTTTTCACTTAAAAGACTGTATTAATTTCAAAGTCGGTTTTATATCTTATACATACATAAGTTATTTCTGCCAACACCCTTTTATTTATGTCTACCTCTTCATTACAACACACTTCAGCGCCCAGGAGCCACTAAAAAAGCATCTTGAACTTTGCAGAGTCTCAGGTTTAGAACATTATTTCTTAAAAACTTGGCCAATATTGCGTCCAAGTAACGTTGGCCGAAACACGAATGTTCTTGTATAAATCCAAAAAAAATTACAATGTCATTTGACAGGGTAGAAAGGTCTATTGTGGTAAGGCCTCATTGTTTAATCATCTATCTGAAGCTAGAGTACCACATACACTGTATATTTTTTTCTAGAAATCATTAGTACTATTCTTAGGATAGAGCCTCGAGTAGGATAATCTTCTCGCTACCATCTTCTGAACTGAATTCTGAACTTTTATTTTCGCATCACTAAGAGTAGTGCAATAGCGGAAAAGTCTTCAGAGCATTTTACCTTCAGCGCATGAAAAAATTATTCATGTTACAGCTGCCTAAGCCAACACGAGTCCAGTAGAGTTCTACGGTTGTTCTAAATACGAGATAGTAAATTCGCAAATTGGTCTTCTTACATTACTCCTATCCTTCTCCTATTTTAGATAGGCTCTCGAATATTTCAATCTTTGCCTTCATACATACTTTACGACATAAACTATCTTTATTTCGAGATCACCTTAGTTTAAAGCGCTTATATGCATTTTTTTTTGTAGGTTGTATGAAACAGAGTCCTTTAGAAAATTATAGAAGCAATTCGACATAGAATACTAAAAATAATACTCAGGTCACGAATAATTTTATTTACGCTTTCTATACTTATGAAATCGGCTTTGTTAGGAAGGCTCGCATTTACCGGGTGTTTGGAAGATTAGATAAGATGCGCAAGAGATTTCCATCGAAATCAAATCGCACAGGTCATTTAAAATATTAAACAAAGTATGAAATTTTCTAAGATATATACTCTTAAATTCTGCATTCTACAAGATGAGCCTCTTTATCACATGTATTTGCAGGATAATGAAGAAAAGTAACTGCATGAAAGGTGACCTTGAAAGCCATTTTCAAATACATATCTAGTGGGTATCATGGCACAGCTCCTCTATAGAATTAAGTGACGTTGCTATAACAACTAGGTCCCACTTTCACATCTAATCTACTGTACTTGGCAATCGTGCAGAGATTTATGTAAAGGAAATTTATAGGAAATTTATTTAATTAAGTTCAAAAGATGGCTAGATCGTAAAATAATGAGAAAGAAGTTTATCCAGAAGTGTATATATATATTATAAAAGAGAAAACTGATAAATGAGATTTTGTATATTCGGACCGATAAGATTTGAGGGAATCAGGGAAAAGCTCTCTATTATACAAAGGAAAAAATCTGGGCCTTGACATAGCAATTGCTAATGCATGTCGAGGTAAGGGCAAAGCATACTGTAGTAAATGATGCGTTGAAAGGTTTGGATAGATTGATTGGTAAGCTAAGGAACAAAGGCGAAGTTTATGATGCTAAAAGGCATCGAGAAGAAGAGCATGAACTGAACGGTAGAAAGACACAGAAGAGGCATGAGAAATTTTGAACATAGCTGCACATGCTTTGCTAACACAGCATGAATAAAAGTACGTAAACGTTCCAAGACCCCGTATTACCAAGTATCGACCTAAAGGACAAGTGCTAAAGCGCTGATCTCAGTGAAACAAGTAAGTAAGTACTTTTTGCCCCAGACAATTTTTGGTCAACAAAAGGTCCAATTTAAAGTAGTTTACTAATTTTCACTCTTATTATTTCCATTTATACAACATTCAGTGGGCATGTAAGGACACAAGTAAAGGGTACAAAAACATTGTGACTTAACGATATATTTAGACATTGTAGAGGCATTTCAATCAAAAAAACAAATCAAATACAGCAATAGAAAAAACAAATAAAGCAACACAAAAGTAATTATAATAATTTTGTGTATATTCAGACTTCTGTCATGGATTCAGAGAATTGTGCATCTCAAGGCACCTTTTTTGTCAACGCTTGTTGCATAAAGTTATACTCATTTGCTCTGAGTGAACGGGCTGTGTGTTGTTATCTAAGTACACGCAACAAGTTAATGCACAAGATCTTCACAGTGTGCAATTTGTTACTGCTTTGCCCAATCAAATGATCTTGGTAAGGGATTCTATCGGGAACCCTATCCGCTACCTGACAGTGATTACGACTGCCTTGCTTCCGTACGATATACGCGCGTCTTTTTTCAGTTAGGAAGGATTCAAGGGCGTACTGCCTAGTGAGATGGAGTTAATCATTTCAGAATGTCTGAAGTAATGCTTAATGGTGGTACCGACCGTTAGACTTAATAGATGATTTTAAATTTGCAAGTGAACGTTTGAAAATATAAGTAGCTTTATTAAAGTTACTGTCTTTCCACATTGTTGAACGGCACGCAAAGAAAAATGTTGATGACTGAAGTAGAGAGTGCGAACGATTGAACTACAGTTGCAGCCTTCGGAACGGTAACTCCCTAACGCTTACTTCACAATTTACCTACACTTTATTCCTTCCGCCGGTCCAAATTCTGCTTTACCTTGAAAATATCCTTATGCTTAGCATGATCTTCCATCACACTTATTATAGAAATGTTGCATTATTGTTTTCGTTTTTAACATGCATTAAACGTCCTTACGTTTACACGTAGCTTTACAATGCTCAGTTCTGCGGAACTTCCCCATAATGTGCGATCAACGCCTATGATGGGTCGAACGACGCCTGTTCCAACATTCTCATCATTCTCGTTCGTAGTCTTCTTATTTGTATTGAAGTTTCTCGAAAGCCCTTCTGCTAAACCACCTCGGAGTTCTCTGCGAATTGTCCGAATCGTTTACTTTTCTCTTTCAATAACCATAGAGCGTTATAGTTTTACTCAAAGCCATTTATCATCATCCTATCATAACTAGGAGCGAAGAGGCAACTGCTTAAGGATATTATAAAGCTTAAGTACTTGTTTATAAACAGGTTTTCAACCTTACAACTGAGGCGTACGAACGCGTCCAGCCTGCTAAAAAACTAACATTTTAGGTTATAAGGAAAAAGCTATGCTCCAATTATTTTCGGAAAAAAACTGCTATCGTTTCCATTGTAAAATCCACATTGTCTTTCTGGGAGCAGGACGCTGAAGTAAGTAGTTTCGGGGCCTTGCCCAACCAAAGGCATCTCGCAATTTGCCTCCAATATGCATCAACAAAATTAGCTGCTTCAAAGAGATCACTGAACTCAAACCTAGCGATAGATCTTGATCGAGGTTAAATATACACTCCATATACATATATACCTGCAATACAACGCACTGTCTTCAACGAACGATCCAATTTTTATATAAAAAGGGCCTTACGTGCTTGCTAAAGCATTAAGATTGCATAATCTGCTTGCCGTTTGTTATGTTGCTGTTCATACACACTTAATCTGAGTAAACGAGACGCCTGATTAATCCGTCGTTAGCTTCATGAAGCGTTTGTAGTGAAGTAGAAATAATCTGTAGTTATCAGATTCCGTTACTGAGCGCATAAACAAAAATTGACAAAACGAAGACTTTAATTATAAACGATGACCTCCTGAACGATTGTCGGTCTATTTAATTGCAAATAAAATGCTGTTCATTTTAATCTATATCCTAGCACGAAATATTTGTAATTTTCAAATATGTCTAGAACAGATGGTGGGCTTCTTTGAGCGTTAAAAACGATTAAGGAAAGAATTTGCGAGCTGGTTGAAAGTTCTCCTGAGACATTTTTTCTAATGTCAAATGAAAATTTGATCTGATCATTCAAGAGAAACTTGACATATATTGTCTAAGCGCCGGCTATTCGGTACTACGTTTTCTTCTATTTAATTGGCAACGGGAATCAGACATTGTATTTTAAACTTTACCCCGAGCCGAGGAAAGCATACCGAAACTATTAGAAGCAGAATAGATAACGCTTAAGGGCTTATCAGTATAATCGATATCATTATATTGTCAGTTAAAGAAACAACTTCTTGAATCTTCTCATACAAAGCTCCTAAAACTCTTACAATTAACCCATATTCTAATGCCTTAGCTGAAATTGAACTGGCGGTTAGATTTAGGTCATTGGGCTAGTTTTACGGAAACGTGTCTTTGCAGTCTGAGTAGAAGTTACTAGTCCTATATGTTCAAAACGGGGACCTATTTTATCACTGGCATGGGATAACGGCAGCAGTGTATTCCTTTGCCATATTTCCGACCCCTGTAGCACTATCATAGCAGGAGGGAATGGGCTGCACAGAGCAGGATCCTAGCTACACTCTGTGCTGATGAGGAGACATATTGGTTAGGGCTAAATGACGTACGAACGTGAGCGGCAGTGAAAAGTTCAACGTCAGTGTTGTATCAACTAAAGGCGCCATTGTATTTTGAACAATCCTTCTCCTGCCAATGTAGCTGGTGATGCCGTTGCGGTCGCGGTTATCGTCGTCGTCGTCGTTGCCGGCGCTGCTTCACTGAAGGAAGTCGACGAACCTTTTAGCTCCTCGCCTTCGTTATCCCTTGCCGCCGCCAGAGTCGCAGCAATAGCTCGGACGACGGAGGCAGCAGGTCACACGGTGGCTAGCCGATTCGTCTGAAGTCTTGACGAAACGCTCTCTCTATTACCCACTTGGTTTTGGTAGAATCGCGCACAGTAGCGCCAAGGGGCAAGTGAACGCGCAGTAAATCCCACAAACGACAAATCTAGAATCGCATATTAGCGTGGCCATATTATTGGTATATCAGTACAGTGGCGTAGTATTTTAAAGGAAACGTGATAGTGCTCGTTGCTGGCGGTATAATGAGCCTTGGTTCGTCTCTTACAGACTACCTCTACACAAGGAACCCCTGCTGAGTATCAACGTATGTCGTACCATGTTTTACTGGTCACTTGGCGTTCGGAACCCATCAATTCATAAAGCATTACCACAACTGTACTGCCGAGTTTTATTTTTAGTGCGCCTTTGGCACAGTGTTATTTGTTCGGGATATTTGTTATATGCCGCGTTTAGCCTATTCACCGTTATATTTAGTTACCGATTTAGATTTATTATTCGATTGTAGCTAGCAGGTGTAGTGTCCAATAATTAATAAAAATACAGTAATACTACAAATAAGAGATAAAATTCTAGTTTGACGGTAATTCCAGTTAACAGCTCGTGTGCGTCCAGTATTGCATTGACTACTCCTGGAAGTGCTGAGAAAACTCTTTTACATCAATAGGGTGTGACCAAACAACAAAGTGTTTTTTCGTCAAAGTGGATACCAATATATCAGAATAAGGTCGGACGGGCTAACCCATATACCGGAGGTGAAGATTCGCTATTTTGTGCGTGCCATTAAATTGCTACAATTGCCGATAAGGCAGTTAAGTCAACATTTATTAGGAGACAACTACTCTGTTAAAGAAATCGTTGGAAGTTCTGTCATCTGATGGAGAACGGAATAAGCTCATCAGGGAACGGAGCTGCGTCTTCAAGTGCTCATGGCGACATGAAGAAGCACAAAAGCTCTTCCAAGTCCAAAAGACATATAGAAAACAAGTAAGTAGCTATTGGTAACAGGTCTGCTTTCATAGCCTTTATTTATTTTCTGCAATAGACAACACCCTGATTTTCGTCCGGGTTGAAAGCTTGCATCTTCTTGTGTATCGATAGGGCGAATGACAATTCGTGGCTATGATAAAACAACAACACTGATTTGTTGATGAATGAATTTTTCAACATAGTAAGAATATAGAGCTCTGGACATTATTCTAGAAATCGAGTGGTGTTGAAATATGCGGTATTAGGTACCGCAACCAGTAGCAGTAAAATGATAGTTCGCATTTGCTTTGTGCCACAATCTCTTTAGGTTAATTAAGATCGTAAGGATAACCAGATGTATAAGTAAACAGGGTCGTTAATTTATTTTATGACCACCTACCTTCGCCTATTTCAGATTCAATCTTGTTGTCAAATATTTTTATAAGCATAATTTTATGCGCAAAAGCTTAGCTAGACCTGTGCGCAGACATGTCTACCCATGGATAGTAAGGCCAAATCCCCATTCGAGTCTAAAGCTGGTACATCCAGGTTTGTTAGTATTAATCATTTATTCCTATAATTGAAAATACTCCTACGCGTAATTCTGTTGATGTTAATATAGAAGATGAGCGTAGCCTAAACGTCAGACGACGAAGATTGGCTGACAACAATTGCCATTTATGTAACCAGCAGTAGCAGTGGGGACGACAGCGACAAAAGAACGGCTTAAAGCCCCGTCCGTTGAACGAATGTTTTTAGACTACCAGTGGCGACAAAGAACGACTACTCCGCTGTGAGTAACTTTTTCATTTCTAGCATAACTTTTTTCGATGCATGAATTTATTATTTGTCCGACGCGACCATCGGACCGCGCAAGGACAGAGACGAGTTCAGGGAGAGACGCCCATAGGTAGCCATGAGAACTAACTAATTAGTTATAATGGTATCGTACTATGACCGCTTCAGCTGGTCTCTATTCTTGCCGCTGCTGCTATAGATTTTATTTGATTAGACTGATTATAAAAGTGTTAGGGGCAATGGAAAAATTTATCTATTGGCAGAAATAGTGGTCAAACTCGATAGTGTTAAAGATTTTATTGGTTAGCTGATTCGCCTAGTTGACTTCGAGAAGGACCTCCTCCGAAGTAGGCCCCTCCTCCGAAACAATCAGGCTTGACTAATAATAATAAGTAGAGGACAAATAAAAGGAAAGCGTAATCGCTTGTTGGCAAAGGATTTTTTGTAATAATGTATTAGACTGTATGTGCTACTGTAAGCGAAAGATACTGTCGTTTTTCTATAGAAGTAAAAAACATATTCACAAGACCAATGTTAATCAAAGCTACGGTCTTATGTCTCAGTGTCCTTTTCACTCACATGTGAGTGTTAATTTTATTAAATATTTTGTCTATGTTTTTTTTATCAATTAAGTCTTTGTTGTCCTGGCTTCTTATGTTATATGTTATATCGATTGCGGATTACTGCAGACCGGTTTTAGAAAGCTAAAATATGACCAACACATCTCCGTCTGCTAGCTTTGTGACCGGATGTGGTAACGGACTAGGGCATACAATATCGTTCGATAGACGGACATATCATAATTAGCACGACTGATACATATGTGTAACTTTATTGTATAATTAATAATAATAATAAACGGGTGCAGAAACCGTTGTATCGGGCAGCATCTACGAGCGAGCATCTTTCAGTGTAGTCAGAAAGCAATTGCGTAGTATTGCCTCTATAGTTAGTTATCAATCCAAGTATATTGGTAAGTTAATCATAATTACAAATGTATTGGTAGATAGCTACATTGTTCGGGCAGACCCATTTTAGAACTTCACTCCTTTCGAATGCAACATAAAAATAATTATGTCATCGAGAACGTTGGTTATCGATAGTGTATCCCGGTAAATATACAAGCTCTTTCGCGCTCATATTAATGAGATCAATGTTAGGTTCTAGGTTCCATTTATCTAATTTCCTATCGGTGGGCAACGTTTTGAAATTTCCTGACTAATCTTCATATAGCAGAGGTTTATACCTTTCTCTGGATCATGTGGTTAATTAATCGAGTGATTGATTCTTTAGTGAATGCAACTGAGCGATAAAAGTGATTTTCTGGCACCGCATACACTTCTCCATTGCCCTTGGCTAGCTTACTTAGCCGGTTTGACCACTACATAAGTGTCCTTCTTCAATTCGAGCGACTAATCTTATTATATAGATGTGATATGTTAACAATGATGACGTAATCGTTTGTCACCTATTGCCGCTCATGATTATCACTCGCGCAATTATATGGAACTAGATGCCCCTAGTTGAGCCTTCATGTGTAGAGAAATTTTTCGCACAAGATCTTCTCAGCATCATAAGGATGCTTTGAATAGATTCGTTTGAAGATGTTATTTTATATGTATCTGAGTTTTCATTTTGCCTACAAAATTAGATCATATCCTCGCGATTTAGCTTCAGAACCACTATCGGAAATATTAACTAAGCGATAACTACTAATTACAGTTACATACGTCGGTTACTGCAAGTTTCTCTCAACAAAGCATGAACGAATCGACATACATTCATCTCTTGATAATTTAGTGTACTAACTAAAGGCTTTCCGTTTTTAACAGAATAATAGCAAAAATGAAAACACGACAATATGTCGCTATTACCGCAAATTATATATATAAACATTTGAAAGTTCCTTAGAAAGAAATACGCAGAGCAGTTAACGTACACCTTGTTTAATAATTAGTAGATTATACAGCATCGTGGGAACTATATGAATTTTAGGTTCTAATTTTTAAAATAAGCACGCTTATTTTTCCCTGAAGGTTGGCCTTCCATTTCCGATGTGAATTATTTATTGGATTACATAATATTATTTTAATTTTTCCACTTTCTTTTGCTTGTCGGATACATTTTCAATCTATATTTACAAAAGTATATATCGTATTGCCTTCTACAGAAGTTTTCCTATGGTAATGTCACAGCATTCGTTACGCCAGACAGAACTATTTCTGGGATACATTAATATCATTTTTTTAATAAGGAGAGAAACAAGTACATCTAATTTGGCACGGTCCGTTTTTACAAATATTCACGTGTTGATAAAATATTTAATCCATAGGTAGAGCAAAACAATATTTGCCACACTACCTTCAAACTATCCAACGAAACTATCATAGATAATTCTGAGCGATCAATTCGATTGACCAAACTTTATGGATGGTCTTTTTATATATTTTATGGACAGAATTATTCAATGTAAACGATTTCTACTTAAAGTAAATAGGTAACGTAAATGGTGCTATATTAACAGGGTAATCTTCTACGTTCATAAACATATTGTATATGATTAAACTACAAGTACAAAAGAAAAATGATAAACGCGACTGCAGATGTTATTAGAATGAATATCCTAACCTATAGAAAGTAACGGGCACTGTGTCTAAACACGAATAAATTCAAATCACGGAAGAAACTTTGAAAACAAAGTAGACCGCAATAGTATACAGATACACTACTTTGCCCTGTTATAGATATGTTTGTTTTTCTTGAACGCATCTTCTCTAAGGCGTGACAGATTCAGGAATTAGCAGTTATCGAGTACTCGAAAGCCACCCATAAAGCAAAAAAAGAAATGTCTACTTAGGACTTGATGAAATATTTTCTTTAATTTTTGGTCATTCTCAATCTTTATTGCATATTAGTTTTAGCTGCTAAGACTTTCTGGATATCACCATTGAAGGTGTGAGATGGCCTTTGTCTCAAAACAGCACAACCTCTTCGTGCGTTCCTTTTATTATACGTTGTTGGCGCGTTGTTAGTATTATGTTATGCATATTTAGCCAAGAAATCAAGTGGGCATCAAGGGGTCGAGAAAAAATTAGCTGGCGGGGCGTAGAAATCGGTCGGCGAGGAAAGTTGACACGAGTCAAAAGCGAACGATACGCAGACCTGAAGGGTTGGTTCGGTAGCAGAGTAACTCAAGAGATAGAGTTGGCCAGCCTTATGGTGCCGCTTGCCCAATCTGCATCTGCATCTGCATCTGCATCATGCTTGTGGACGTTTCATTGACCATCTAATTTGTACGTCTGATATTAAATTTCTCATAATACCCATTTCAGAGTACTCTGTGTCGTAGGCAGTAAAATAATTAGCAAAAATCATAATTCTAGTAATTTTCCTTTTGTAGGTGCATAATACGTGGGTAACTGGCAATATTTTCTGTTGTGCAGTGTATTGGCCCTTGCTCTGAAGGAAAATATTTTAGGGTTTGAGAGCAAATAAAACGTATTGACGCTGTGTGCTCTCTTGTTAAATAAAATAAGCCTAAAAGATTATTACCAGTTGGCGTACTAGAAAATAGACGTTCAAAAAATGTCCATCTGTTATCAAGTATACTACTCAAAGCGGTGCACGTTGAATACAGTTTCCCTAAGGAGCACCTTTATAAGCTCTATAGAGCAACGGCTAGAACATCCACCAGACTAATGGCCATTAATTTGGCTGCGCTTAAGGCCTGCCCAGCGTTTTGCCGAACCATCGGCCGGATTACTATTATGCTGTAGATAGAATATACGTGAGTGATTCTTTCAAATTAGTGAACTCGAATATCAAAACGCTTTTTGATTTCGACAGCTATACCCTTAACGGATCTCCATTAAAACAGTACAATAGATTCCTCGATTATCTCCAATTTGACCGTGTTATCCATGTGGACACTCGTTGCAAGAAGGTTTCGTACATAGCGACATACCGTCCTGTACGTAGCGCGATAAAAATAAGTGTATTAATAGTGTACATACGCCTTATATAGGATAATGTAGCTGATGCCTGCGAAAGGAGAGGGTAGTTACACGTATAAACTAGTAATGGCGGCGCTACTGGCACTGCAGGCTGTGATAATATGCTCGTTGATCAGAAGTTGATATTAAACAGCGCTTTGAGTATTGGTTCTTTAGGACCAGCGTCGAACGACGGTGAGGTGCAGCATGTTTGAGCCTGGTTAACGT